CATACCTCTACCCTTCGCCCGTTTTTCCCTTTTTGGGCCTGCTGGGCGGCCCTCGTCGCCACCGCTGGATTCGCCTCGAGACCCTAGTCAGAACGCACCCCAAGAGAGGTCCAGGGAGTAACGGTATCGGTACCTATTGTTTTCCCAAAACCTCGTTCAGGCCTGGAGGTGAATATTCGCAGCTCCGCTCCCATCACACGCCGAAACAATGTTGGGACACGTGATCCGGCTGCAACCCCCTTTGGGAATCGGGATCGTTGCCTGGCGGAGGGCAGCGTAATGCTGGGATGGTACGACAGCGGCTGCAAGACGTGTTTTTTGTTTGATCGTTCAACGAGGATACACATCGTCCAGCAGGCGAAATTTGGCCAGCCGTACTAGTCAGAGGGAGGACGAGGATTTTTGGGAGCATTGTTCGCATGACTTGTGCGGACTTCTTTTTTCGGAGGTTGATTAACGCCTTTTGGACCGCTGTGGACTGATCTTTATGTTTGCTTATCTTCTTTATCTGCACTTGGGGCTCGATGGCTTGATTTGACTCGAGGTGCTCGTGTGCAGGTGGCCCCTTTGCGATGTAGGAACCGACTGCCAGCTGGCAGTGGCCAGCGGAATGCACGGGCACGACCTACGTGCTCATCGCAGTGTTAGTGCAGCGAGTGCGGGGGAGCAGGAGGCCCTTCGGTCGCAAATCCTGGGAGCCTGGTATGCTGTCTCAATTCCGTCTTTAGCGTCGACTAGCGTCTGGGAGTCGATGCGATGTGCCGACTTAGCGTCGATTAGCGTCGATTTGGCGTCGACTTAGCGATTTAGCGTCGATTCGCGTCGTTTCGCAGGAGCTGTCAAGACGTTATGGGAGGCTCCGGTGAGTTGCCACCGAAGGGTCCACGCGGCAGGGCCACGTCGTGTCGACCTGCGGCGACCCCGCCGTTGGCGTTCAACGTGGAACGCTGCCAGCTGCCCGGAATCGACCGATGCTGAACGATCGGACGTTGCGGGGACGACCCGTCGTTCCAGGCTGAGCGATCCACGCGGTGTCAGGAGCCAGCGCTGGGGTCTGCACGGCACGAGCCTGTCCTTCACCAGCCACCAAAAACCACCCCAACGCAACCCGAAGGCCTCCAGTTGCTCTCCGCTTCCAGTGGGGGGGGTGGGGAACATCGAAAAGACACATGGAGCCCGTACCCCCCCCATCACCCGAAGTCCGGGTCAAGTTCGGGTCTTCGGGTTGGGTTGGGGTGGTCTGGAGGGTACAGTGCCGTTTTTTTTATACATGCTCCGCGTGCGGATCACGTATTTACAATGCAGGGATTCAGTATTAAAAACAACGATGAGTTCATGCATACATGCATTCACAAGTCAATCGTGTATAAAAAACCCTGTATGCTTCAAAGTCCTGTGTCTTAGAAACTGCCCTGTAGGTGGCCAGCCCTGGCCTCTCTGGCCCAAGGCGCCGGCTCGCGGCGCCTGGCTCTCGAGGCCGCGCGGGGCGCAGGAGCCTGTTTTTTTTAGATTCTGGCAAGTTTACTTGCATGGACGGGGAAGGGGGGGGGGCTGAGCCTGAAGCAAGCCCGGGGGGGGGGAGCGCGGAAATCACGCAAGTCGACAGGCACTTGCACGCTAGTGTTCGCTTGAAGAGGGGCGAGGGGGGGGGGGGGGGGCGAACGCCATGCGAGTAAACTTGCCTGAATCCAAAAAAAGAGGCTCCTCTCGAGGCCGCGCGGGGCGCAGCCTCCGCCCGCGGGGCATGGCCTTCGAGCCTCCGCCGCGCCAGCAGCCGGGCCCGCCGGCCTCCGACGGCTCCGCCCCGGGCGCCGCGCCGCGGGGCGAGGCGGCGAGCAGTGGCGGAGCGTCTCGGCTCGCCCTGTAACTCAGCGAGCGAAGAACGGTACAAAATAAACTTTTTCGCTGTCGGGGGCGCCTGTCCCTGGGCGGCTGGGAAGTTTATACCCTTACGGTGGCACTGTAGGGGTATCAACTTTCCAGCCGCCCAGAGGCAGGTGTCCCCGACAACGAAAAAGTTGATCTTATACAGTTTTTCGCTCGCTGAATAACTTGGCATCGCTCGGACGTGTGCATTTTCTCTCGGCGAGAGCCATCGAGGATCATCCTGGACCATCGAGCCAAAAGAAACAGGCACGAACCGGAAAAATGCACGGGAAATGGACGTCCGAGTGACGGCAAGATAAGGCCCACCAAGAAGTTCGGGTATAGCCAGGACCCCGGGTAAGGGGACCCGGTTAGTGGTAGGGCCATGTGGCCCCTCAATTGGCCAGATGCACTAAACCAGGTTTGCCGTAACTGGTGCTTTTCGGGTGACGGCAGTTCCGGTTAGCGGAACGGGGCGGGGGGGGCGCCCCCCCGGTACACATTTTTAGACCAGGTTCCTTTAAACCCAGTTCTGCCAACGCCCGAGAAGTGTCCTCGGGACCTGTTTTTTTGTGGTGTTCGCGAAACGTTCTCAGAGCATTTCTGGCCGAGGCCCCCACGTTGTGACACGTCGGCTTCTGTGCTCGTGGAGCAGCGTCTTTTTTTGGCTCTTGGAGCATCTTCTGGCCCTGCGAGCCACTCGTGGTACTAGGACCGCAGGGCTGCCAGGACGGTCGCTCCCTGCTCGGAGGCTGGGGAGCAGGAGCTCCTGAAGCTCATCTCGGCTGCACGTAAGGCGTGACCCTCCGCCTCGGTGGCGTCTGGCCTGCGGCTTTCGATGGGCGCGGGGGGGAGGCCTGGCCCTCGGGGCAGCGCCAGGGGGGGGGGGGGAACCAGGCTCCGTGGGGGGGGGCGCATCGGCCTCCCCGATCGCCCCGCGATCGCCGATGGAGGGCCCGATAGCCCACCCCGCCCGGGGGCGCGCCGACTCGCCATCGGGGGCCTGTCGTCGATCCGCGGGCTGCGCGTCGCCGCTTCCATCTCAATGGCCCCCTCTTCTCCTCCCTCCTCCCTCCTCCTCCCTCCTCCCTCCTCCTCCCCCCTCCTCCTCCCTCCTCCCTCCTTCTCTCTCCTCCTCTCTCCTCCTCTCTCCTCCTCTCTCCTCCTCTCCAGCTTGCGCTGGCCGCGCGCCAGAGGTCACCGCTGCCCAGGGCCGCTCCCTGCGTGCAGCCGAGCATCGAGCGCGGCCACGAGTGCTTCCGCCGCGCGGACTACCAGGGCGCCCTGGCGGCGTGGACCGAGGCCTGCGCCATCCGCGAGGCGACCCTCGGGCCGGAGGACCCGGCCACGGCGCGCCTGCTGAACGCCATAGGGAATGCCCACAACAAGCTCTGCCAGGACCAGCAGGCCCTCGACTTCTACACCCGGGCGCTGGCCATGCCCGGCGGCGCGCGAAGAGGGGACTCGCGCGAGGGCGGGGCGCCTTCTGAGAAGCGGAGGGGTCTTCCTCCTCCTCCTCCTCCTTCTCCTCCTCCTCCTCCTCCTCCTCCTCTTCCTCCTCCTCCTCTTCCTTCTGCCTTTCCTCCTCCTCCTCCTCCTCCTCCTCCTCCTCCTCCTCCTCTTCCTCCTCCTCCTCCTCCTCCTCCTCCCTCCTCCTGCAAGGGCCCGGGCCCTCTGCGGAGGCTTCTCCGAAGGCCGCCCTCCTCGCTCTCGCCCCCCTCCTCGGGTGCGCCGCCGGCATACGCGAGAGGGTGCTGGGCGCAGACCACGCCGACACCGCGCGGTCCCTCTGCTGATGGGCCTGTTTTCCACCACCACCACCATGAGTTGAAGGGGGGAAGGAGGAGGAGGAGGAGGAGGAGGAGGAGGAGGAGGAGGAGGACGACGAAGGGGAGGAGGAGGAGGAGGAGGCGCGACCCCATGAAACGACGCGCGGAGTGCAGGGAAAAGAGAGGCGGCGGCGGCAGGAAAAGCAGAGAAAAGCGCAATCGATCACAAAAACACTCGGGTCCCCAGGGCGCTCAGAGCCCAGCCGAGGCTTCGCGGCCACGCCAAGCGAACCCGAGAGGTGCCCAGGGCCGAGCGCCAGACACCCGAGACGGGGCCAATGAGGCCCCCGTCCCAAGAGAGCCCCAAGGGGGGCTCACGAAATAGAGAGCAGGCCTAGCCACTGGACCGCATCGTCCGTGACCAGCAGCCTGCGGGGTGGCACGATGGCCTGGGACACCCTCCCCTTCGGGTGGATGCCCTTCATAAAATTATCCCTCGTGGAAAAAAAGGCCCATCATCTGCAACTGTGGCATCATGCACCACAAGCTCGGCCGCCTGCAGACCGCCATGCAGTGCCACTCGCGCGCGCTGAAGATAGCGGAGGGGAACCGAGGGCTCGGCTCAGAGCACCCCGAGGCCGCGCGCACGCTGTGTGACATGGGCGACGTCTACGACGACAGCGCCAAGTACCAGCAGGCCATGAGCTGCTACAAGCGGGCCATCGCCGTGCAGGGCAAGACGCTGGGCAGCCACCACCCCGACGTGGCGCGCGCCTACGTGGGCATGGGCAACGTGCACTCTCACAGGGCCGCCTACGCGCGCGCCGGCGAGTGCTACGAGCGTGCGCTCACGATCCAGGAGAGGACGCTCGGTCGGGAGCACCCTGCCACGGCCGTGACGCTCTCCAATCAGGGCCTGGTGGCGCAGAGGCTGGGGCAGAAGCAGCGGGCGGTGCAGCTTCACGAGCGGGCGCTGGAGGTGCACCGCAAGAACAAGAGGTTCAGCGAGGACCACCCGTCGAGGAGGAAAAGGCCGCGTGGACACAGTCTTTCCGAGGTCGGCGCAGATCTCTCTGATCGGCGCTGGTCCCCCCGGGCGGCGCCTCTGGCGCCGCCCTTGGCGCGCTGCGTACGCCAGGGAGGGGGGGCCCGGTGCCGATCCAGGAAATCTGCGCGGAGTGCCGACAGCCTCGGTCGACGCCGTCCATCTGCTCCTCTCTCCCAGACGTGGTGCGCACGCTCAGCCACCTGGGGCAGGCCCACGAGGCGAGAGGCGATCTGGAGAGGGCCCTCAAGTGCCACCAGGAGGCCTACGAGCTGCGGCAGCGGACCCTCGGGCTCGAGCACGCGGACACGGCCTTCTCGATGGGGCGCCTGGGGGCGGTCTACCGGCGGAAGGGGAACCTGAACAAGGCCGGGGCCCACGCAATGGGGGTCAGCGCCAACGGGGGTCAGCCAATCCCAGTCCCCATGTGGCTGCTCAGGTTTCGGAGCGACGTGGGGCCGCTTCCCCCATGCCGCCCTCACTGACCCGGGTCTGGGAACTGCCAGGCGGCCGGCCGGGCTTGGCGACATGGCCTTGGCTGACTTGGTGTTTGTGCTGACCCTGGTCAGTGTGTCGCTGACAAGGCCATGGAGTATTCCCACCTCTGCCTGGCCATGACCGAGCAGGCTCGTGGGCGAAAAACATATCCTGATGGGCCTGTTTTCCACCACCACCAGAAGTTGGAGGGGGGGGTCCTCCTCCTCCTCCTCCTCTTCCTCCTCCTCCTCCTCCTCCTTCCTCCTCCTCCTCCTCCTCCTCCTCCTCCTCCTCTTCCTCCTCTTCCTCCTCCTCCTCCTCCTCGTCCTCGTCCTCTCCCTCCTTCCCCCTTCAACTTATGGTAGAGCTGGCGGAAAGCAGGCCCATCATATCCGTGTCCGCGCCCTTGTGGTCTGGATGCCGGGGCGCAATCCCACGGACACGCGGTGGCACGGGTACGATCCGCGCGGGACGTCCGCGAACAAACACGCAACGTCCCTGGGGGGTCGCGGCCTGCGGGCCAGACCCGCGAGGTCGCGGATGCGGGTATGCTTCCCTCCTCGGCCCAAGGTGCCCCCAGGACTTCCATTGAGGCTGATGGGCTTATTTTTCCACCACCACCACCATAAGTTGGAGGGGGAGGGGGTCCTCCTCCTCCTCCTCCTCCTCCTCCTCCTCCTCCTTCGTCCTCCTCCTCCTCCCCCTCCAACTTATGGTGGTGGTGGTGGAAGACAGGCCCATCAGAGGCCCTCACGGCCTCCAGAGCACACCTCACGAGGCTCAGAGGGCCGCAGGGGCCAGGACGGAGCGACGTGCTGGGGGGCACCTTGGGCCGGGCGCACCTCCTGCAGCCCCGGATGCTCCCACCCACGGCAGTCGGCGTCGCCCCGACATGCTATCACTATGTGCGCGCCGCCCCCCCCCCACCCCACCCCAAGGGGCGACGCGCGCGCCGAGATGTGCTGTAGTATATGCGTCGTGGCGGGCGCTCACTGGTCGTAGCGCTCGGGGAACGATATACTACCGGTCATACCAGATGATTGGGTCGGGCCCACGCCTCCGAGGGGGATGCACAGTGCTGGTACGTCCTTGCGCGTCCCAGACAGGCGTTGGGGAAGGAGCACGTGGGGACGGCTATTGCGGCCCACAACCTGGGGTGCGTGCTGATGCGGCTCCGCGAGCTGCAGATGGCCATGGAGGCCTTCGGCCGCGCGGTGGCGGTGCTGGAGGCCAGCAAGGCCGAGCTGGGCGGCGCAGCGCACCCCTTCCTGGCGCGCGCGAGGGAGTCCGTGAGGCTGTGCTCGGCCGCCCTGGAGAGGGAAGGCGCTGACGCCGCGGCCTCTCCCTGACGAGTGCGAGGTGCCCTCTGGCCGCCGCGGCCGGGACGGCCTCGCCCGCGGTCTCGGGCGGCGGGGCCACCGGCGGTGCTCGATCTTCCTGCTCCTGCTCCTCCCTCCTCCTCCTCCTTCCTCTCCTCCTTCCTCTCCTCCTCCCCCTCCTCCTCCTCCTCCTCCTCCTCCTTCCTCCTCCTCCTTCCTCTCCTCCTTCCTCTCCTCCTTCCTCTCCTCCTTCCTCTCCTCCTCCTCTGGAACTCTTGGGGGACGCACCGCTGACCCCTCGGGGCGGCAGTAAGAGTGAAAAGCGCAGCCTGCGGAAAACGCGCGCGATCTCCGGGGAATCCTGGAAGTTCGGCTCCTTGGGATCTCGTCGAGGGCGGTTGGCGGATCGCGGCTCTGCTCTTGGGCCTCTCTCGGCTCGCTTGCCGGGGAAACGCAAGACCCGAGTAAGCCGGAACTCGGGTTTGCCGACCTTTTTGTTGGCGAGCGCGTCCCAGATTTCAACGGCCCCGTTTTCGTGGGAGGTCTGCAGCGGGAGCCCGCGTCAGATTTCAGAGGGGGTCACGTCATTTTTATGATGGCCCTCGTCAGGCCAACCCGAGTCCCCCGTGCACGAGTCTTGCGTCTCCCCGACATTGGCCTCATGCCTCCCCGCGGCCTCTTGAGCGGCCGCGGCTGGTCTGGCCACCTGCTGATCAGGGGCAGCGTTTTAGGTGGCTTGGCATCGCTCGGACGTGTGCATTTTTTTCTCGGCGAGAACCATCGAGGACCATCCTGGACCATCGAGCAAACAAAACACACGCGAAACCCAAAAATACACATTTACACAGCACCCACACTCGAGAGCCAGGCTTGGATATATGTTAACTCGGAGCGTGCCTATACCATTAAATCTTGATTTTAGAGTGCTGGGGGCAGGCGGGGGTAGAGCGACAACCCTAATCAAAAGAGGCCCCACAGAATATCCGACGCAGCAGCGGGAGAGACACCCCCACAGGACAGCGAGCGGCTCGAGAGGAGGGGGCACCCTCCGAAAGTATCTGTTCGCAGCGGCGGGGCCTCGTGTGAGGCCCGAAACATAAAAGGCCGAGAGGTACCTGACCGTGCCTCGGCCCACGGTCGGGCCAAAAAGCCTCGCGGCGAAACCCCCGAGCTCATACAAGCCCAAGGGTGGGCAGGGTTGGGAGCCGAAACTTTGCGCCAGGAGAGGAGGGTCAAGCACGAGAGAGAATGCGCTAGTCCTCCTCTTAATTTGCAGTTGAGGCGGCTATCTGAACGTTTACAGGGGGTGTGTAAAAGTGTGTTTAAAAACGCGTATTTACACAGCACCCACACTCGAGAGCCAGGCTTGGATATATGTTAACTCGGAGCGTGCCTATACCATTAAATCTTGATTTTAGAGTGCTGGGGGCAGGCGGGGGTAGAGCGACAACCCTAATCAAAAGAGGCCCCACAGAATATCCGACGCAGCAGCGGGAGAGACAACCCCACAGGACAGCGAGCGGCTCGAGAGGAGGGGGCACCCTCCGAAAGTATCTGTTCGCAGCGGCGGGGCCCCGTGTGAGGCCCGAAACATAAAAGGCCGAGAGGTACCTGACCGTGCCTCGGCCCACGGTCGGGCCAAAAAGCCTCGCGGCGAAACCCCCAGTCCCGTCATCACTAGACTGGCACTTGTGCCTTCACGCTTCCAGCCACAGCTAGACACGAGCGCGGCACACATTCGGGAGGGGGGGAAAGGGAGATAATTTGTGTCGCTCTCACCCACCAAAAAACCTGCTTTATATTTTCCCCATATCTATCAAGTGTTCAAGGAAGAAAAGTGGAGGACAGGGTGCACGCGCCCAACTCTCGAGGCTCCTGCATTCATATCAAAAGATATGGCCCCCGCAAAAGGCGGGGCCTGAAATGAGGGTGGGGGCTGCAGCAGCCTGCTCATTGCCGTCTGGCCCTGCTACGGCCAGCAGTGGACGGGCGGCTGGTGGGCTCCGCGCCCCCGTCCGCCATGCTCTCCAGCTGCGGCAGCACGACCTCGTCGTTCTCGGCTGCCCCGAGCTCGTGCACCATGTCCCGCGCCAGCGGGGCCAGCACGGCGTCGGAGCGGTAGATGGCCTCCGAGATCTGCTGGGCCGGCCTGCGCCAGAAGGCCCTCCCCCGCTCAAGCTGCGCGGGGGTGAGCCGGCTCCGCTGCTCGATCAGCACGTGCACTTTCGTGTAGCGCTGAAGGGCCGACGTGGTCTGCCAGCGGCCCTTCCGGCGCGCCGCCTCCAGCGAGCCGCCTGCGGCGATGTAGGCCGCCGCCCCCGCGTGCCTCAGCGAATGCGGGGGCCCGAAGTCCGCCAGGCCCGCCCTGTCGAAGGCCAGCCTCCACGCCTTCCTGTACTTGTCCTGCGAGATCGGGAAGAGGAGGTCCCGTGGCGCCGCGCCCTTGCCAATCGCCCGTAGGATGGCCTTCGTCACCTGCCACGAGACCACGACGCCCTGGTTCGCTCCCGTCTTCACCTTCTCGCCCCGCTCTCTGCGGCCCAAGGTGAGCCCGACCTCCCCGTCGGGCCCCACCGCCACGTCCGTCTTCCTGAGGAGGCCCCAGTCCTGCTCCCTCAGCCAGCCGTCCAGCTGCAGCAGCACCGCGGCCCCCTCGTACAGCTGGCCGTGCTCAAAGAGGTCGTAGAGCACGCACCCCACAGCTTCGAACGGCACCGGCGCCCCCTCCTTCTGGAAGCCCATCCTAGACCAGGACTTCAGCGCCCTGGCCGCGACGGGGAGCCGATTGCGGTGATCCTCGAAGATGTGCATGAAACCATTGAACAACGCCGACGCCCTGCCGAAGGGCAACTGCATCACGTAGCACATGTCCGATATGTACCCGCCAAGCGCCGCATCCCTTTCCTCGTAAGTGGAGAAGGGGAGCCCGTGCCGCTTCACGTCCAGGAGAAAGGTCCTCACTTCCTTCTCGTAGATCTGATTCGTGGCGTCGTCCACGGCGTGCACCACGAGCCTCACAGTGTGGTGCAGTTTGTCACTCGGGGCCTGCTCCCAGGCCCGAGCGCCCCTCTTAGCCAGAGGGGGGGGCTTTGCAGAGGTCGTAGCGGGGCCGTCCACCCCACGCCGCGGCATCGCTTCGCACAGCGTCAGCCCGCTCATGGCCATCACAAATGCGAAGCTCCAGGCGGTCCTCGTCGGGCCCGATCTTGCAGCCGCTGAAGTAGCTCCTTCGGCACCCCACGGCCCACGTGGCCCGCCACTGTGTCCTCCGCCGCGCCTATGCCTTGACCTCTCGAGGGGCCGTCTGCCAGGTTGAGCTCGCTCGGCACCCACCTGAAGTACCCGCGGATCCTGCAAACCATCTGGATGATGCCGCCGATCCTCGCCAGGTGCAAGAGGTCCTTGGCAGACGAGCGCCCCTTCTTGAGGACGCCTAGGCTCACCAACGAGTCGGTGAAGAACAGCGCGCGGTGATTCCAGCTCTGGGACGTGCGACTGAGGTGTCGGAGCACCGCCACCACCGTACGCAACTCCAAGACATTGTTGTGCTCTGCGTGAGACCAACGTCCCTGAAACAGCACGTGCCACTTCTTCTCCAGCCAATGGCCCAGCAGAGGCAGGGCCGGCCCAGTCGCTCGCACGACGCGCCCGCGGTCGCCCTGCAGGCGAAGCCGGGCCCCCGCTGGTATCGAGTCCCAGTGCGGCTCGAGCTCCTGCAGAGTGGACGCGTATGCCCTGCACAACTCCAGCGGGTAAGCACATGCCACCTGAGTCCACCGTAGCCCACCTGGTGATCGTCCTCGTAGTTCTCGGTGAGCTCGGCCAGTCCGACTGCGTCGGCTCGAGGGGCACAAGCGCACCCGCTGTAGCGTCGCCATCTTCTTCACGTTGGTGATGAACGTAGTTGGCTTCCTCCATTCTTCGCCATACATGCAGTAATCCACCTCCACACGGAACACCCCCTCGAGATCCAAGAGCGCGGTCATTGGCGCGAACGCCCATATCATGCTGGTCCTGGGGTTCTCGAGGGTGAATCCAATGCCAAGGCGTAGGCAGATCTTGACCACCTCTACTGCTATCAAAGCCAAAGCGTTCCCTTCGTCTATCTTGGCCTGGTCCGTCTCCGTGCAGTCCGGCAGCCCCCACGGGTGATCGCTCGACCTCAGCGGCGGCTGCCTTGCTCTCGAAAACGTCGCGCACGGGGGGGCAACATGCACCCACCAGAACCAGCCAGTCCTCACTCTCCGTAACAGCAGCTCCAAGTTCTCTGTGACCAGTACGTCGAACTCCACGCCCCGCTGGATGTCCCAGGCCTCGCCCCACGAGTCGGTCATCTCCCTGACCGCCTCCAGCAAGCGAGAGCTCCCAGCGAAAAGCTCCAACACCCCAGGTCGCCCCGTAGTGGGAGCGGCCGGGAGGTCCTCCTCCTCGCCGATCGCCTCCTGCGCCCGCTCGATCTCGGTGTAGCTCTGCTCGGCCAGGGGTCCCCAAGCTCCCCCATCTCCACGGGCAGCTTCTCGTCGGACGTCCTCCTCCGTGCAGTCGTAGGCCAGGGCGCCGAAGCCCTCGTTGGACGCATCCGTCATGCATGCTCTCGGCCACCAGCCCATCTCCAGGTTCGACTCCATGTAGACCGAGAGGGACGCGACGGCCCTCAACTCGCTCCTGACCTCCTCGGGCAAGCGATGCGGCACAACACTCTCCTCCTCGGTGAACTCCCTCAGCCACCTGTAGGTCGTGTCCAGGATCGCAAACGAGGGGCGGAAAACCATCATGGTCCAGGTCCAGTGCCCGACCAGAGAAGCCACCGCCGAAGGTCTGAGAGCCACTTCCAGCACCGCCGCCTCGGTGGCCAGCACGACCTGCTCCATCTTCTTCGGCTGGATCCTCAGCGTGTAGGGCCTCGTGGCGGCGATGCACAGGCCCAGGCCGTTCTCCATCCCTTCTCCCCAGGCCTCCTTGTGCACCGCGAGCCCCTTGCCGTTCAGAAGCTCCTTGATCATCTCCTTGTCCTCCAGGATCTTCAGCTC